CTTTTGAAAGCTCCTGGAATAGGAGTCAGCCACATCCTGTCTAGACACTGTAATCACTGTACCAACATTATCTTTGTCAGCCACAATGTCTGACGTTCATGTTCAGAGTGATTTGAGATGTTTTTAAATGGATTGTGCTTTTATCCAAAGAGCTCCACACACCAACTTTTATTCACTGACAGCACATTTGTAGCAATAACCCACTTGAGATCCATTGTCTTACTCGGCGTGTTGATCGAAGAGCAAACTTTGTTATTAGTGTCCAACCTGCTGAGCCACAGCGGCCAAGAACGCAAAGGTTAAGCAAGCACTTCATGCAGGAAATTGATCAGAGCCATTATCGCTTCTTTCCTGTATTGCTAAAGCTGAAAATGTGTGCCTTTTTAACACTGTTAATGTGTTTTTCGGTGTCACTTTCTTGGGCATTTCTTGCTCTTGCTTTCAGTATTTTTTTGTGTGCGATGACATTTTTTTTTTCCTCCAGACATATCCTCATCTTTCTGGCCGGAATATGAGCAAAAACATCTCACAGTTCCCATTACGTCTATAACCGATACTCTCCTTGCCACAGTAATCTGCAGAGAGTAAATGTGTTCACTGAAAAATGGAGAGAGGTCGACAGACCTCCGCTACGGACATTACCCTGGCCCTAAAATTATAGGACTCAATCATAAAAATTCACAAAGACCAACAGGAGATGATGAAAACCCCCTGCAGATAGGAGGGCCTGCCAGCAAACAGCACAGATGACAAAAACATCACATCAGGGAAGATAAGTCGGATTGGCCCTCAGCAGAACAACGCCTCAGGCGTTTTGGCTTTCACAGCTCGGTCCCCCTGTTTTATCTCTGGGCAAAACACCCAACAAGCCAGGTTTATATGAAGCAGCATTTATGAAAAAGTAATCGGTTTCATCTGTTGAGGAGATATAGGCCCCTCGCGGCAAACCGAGCTTATTTCATATTATGCGATATCAAGTTGATGCGTAATCACCGATTAAGCAAGAAGTCAGAGCTAGGATAACATTAGTGCTAACAATCACAAATCATACAGCCAGTCCTCCAAACTGAGCTTTATTGAAAAGGGGGCTTTGCCTCCGTCTGTAAACAAAGTGAGACTTAGAAACGAGAGGTAAAAAGACGCCTGCATAACGATGTTTATCGGTGTCTGGCAGTGGCTGAAGGGTGGTTGGGATTGATCAGATGGGCCCACCAAGCCTGAATGTTAACACTAGTTCCAGCAAAATTTGGATGGGTTGGAAATGTTCCATTTTCTGTGAATTTTTCATGGGCAAAATAAAGACTGATGGAGGGACGGTGCTTAACCTGATGTTCAGATTTCAACACATACAGAATGGAGGAGAAAATGTTCCCTGTTTAAAACCTTGATTGTTTATTGTTTAAAAACATTGCTTTTAATTTAAAGAAAATCTGCAGTTTGTCCAATATTTGGGTATTTTTTAGCCATATGTCTGAAATTGATCATATAAAAATATTATTATTATTTGAGATTTGTTGCACTGAAGTAAATTATGATGGAAAATACAAAGATCATTAAATTGTGTATCTATATTCAAGTGTTTTGGAGTGCAATTGTGAGTATGCACACCGCGTTGGATCAAAATAAATGTACACACTGATTGTAGCAGAATACAAATTTTTCAAATGCCCTAGTAGAATTAAGTGTTTTCAGAAATAAATCACTTAAACCACTCTTCCGGTATCCATCTTTGTAATTCTTATAGATTTTAAGTTTTGCCGACAAGCATTCCCCTTTCTTTACAAACAGAAGATGCCCTAATACACAACCTCTGTAGATGCTGAACAAGATTTGCACTGACAGCAACACGACTCCACAGCACGAGTCTCGGGACAACAAAAAACACTTCCTGAAGTCTTCTGCAATTATTGAACGCCTCATCTTGACATTTTTGGTGATCTTGTGTTTGGTTTTGGTGAAAAACTCCTTTCTTGGCAGAAATATTGAACACGTGAGTACATTTTGATGCAGACTATTTGGATTGCACACTGCTAATTTACGGCTAATTCACATTTTCCGTAATGGAAAAGTGCAAAGCAGTCCTGCAGCAGAACTCAATGAGCCACCTGGACTGTAATTCATTTTTGACAGTTATGCTGTGTTGTTGTTGTTGTTCTGCCCAGAAACTATTAAGATGGTTATTTGATTTGATTTCTTCACCAACACATTCATACATACTGCATCGTGCTATTTCATGTTTGCCATTGTTGCACTAATAAATGGTGTAGCTCGCAACAAGGTTAGCTTCATCTTCATCATAAAACTTTTTTTTAGCAGATGTACAAGTAACAGAAAAATAAAAGCTTAGAAATGATAAATAGGGAATTATTTTGAGAAATGAAACGTGTGTTATAAAATTGAATGTTTTATGTTCAGTTTTACATGAATTACTGTTGAATAACTTTTACAACATTTATTAGTCTTATATTGTTGACAGACAAAACTAAACTTATAAATGCCTAAATATCACCAACACACACCTAATTATACTCAGAAAAGCCAACTCTTCTGATCTGATGGAACTAGTATTTCTATAATGCACTAATGAATGTGGAGGATGATAGGCACCAGAGATCACCTCATTAATACTCTACTGTGCCTGCAGCAAAACATGGTAATGACTGGCTCGTTGTGAGCGTATGGCTTCTTTCTGAGGCATAAGCTGAAATAAAGGAAGATGGCTGTAAAAACACACAGAGAAGACCAGAATAAAAGTCCATCGCAGGCAGGTGAAGGTTTGCATTTTCACAACAAAACATGCAGCAGGCACTCACACATGCACACACAAAAATAAATGCAAAGAACTACGTTGCGGTCCAAGTATAGTATCTCTGGGTACTTGCAAAGTGCTTCTCACCTTTCCTGGTCCACACTATGACTATTCCAGCCAAATTTAATAGGAAACAATCCAAATAAAGTCAATAAATGTAAGACTCTATTTCCAAGAACTGTTCCATGTTTGTCAGTAAGGAGAAAATAAACATCTCCTCGATGTTTGGTAGAAGTACCTTTTAGAGTACTGTGTGATGTGGATCAAACATCGTCCATAAGCTTTTCACAATAATATCCTGGAGTTTTGGCCCATGCCTTCTGATCTGATCTAACTGGTGTAACTCATCTTTTTAGTTGTGCCTACAAATTTTCTATGTGACTGAAATCAGGCCAGCGTTTTAGCATGTTTTCTGGGGCAAACCTTGCAGGGTATTGTGATTGCCACGCCTAAACATTGACTTTGTCGACCTTGAGATACTGTAGCTCATTTGGTGGCATGACAAAGGTCATTGTCCACTTGTTAGACTCGCCTCCCCAGTGTCTTGGTTAATGCCTTTCCACAGGTTGGTGCAATTCACAAGCTGTGAATTTGTCACCAGTCCATCCAGCAGAAAAATACCTTAACAACATCACACCAACACCCACATGCTTCACAGCTGAGATGGTGTCCTCAGGCTTTCCCCATTTTAATCAAATGTAACAATAGTCATTACCACCAACCAAGTCAGTGTCAGATCAAAGGGAAGGTCTCCAGAAAAGTAAGCCTTTGTCCCTCAGTGCATTTGCAAATGATTATCTGAGGGTTTTTCTTCTTTTTTTGGGGGGTAATGTCTTCTTCATCTCTGTGTGGCTTTCTTTCAACTCATTTCATTGTGGATAATAATAACACTCTCTTACCAGCTTCAACTAATAACTTCAGAAGGTATTTTGCTTTTACTCTGGAAGTCCGTGAGGACATTTCACATCAAAACATGTTCATTTCAGGATCACAGAACATGTAATCGTCTTCCTGAACAATGCAACGGCTGGATATGCTCATGCTGTTTATGCTTGGATATAATTGTTTAAACAGACTAAATTAGTTTAAAAAAAGTTGTCTTTTTGTGAAATGCATGAAATTATGTCGACACAGATGTGATCAACACAGCGTTGCAGAGTATGCCGCTAACCGTCCAGGATTCATGCTTAGCACTGTAGAACCACCTGCCTTCAGTGGCATGTCTCTTTACAAATCAAAAAATAAATACATTAAAAATATGGAATAACAAAATAAGACACCTCTCAAAAAGCAAGACGGATAAAAAGTGTTACACACGACATACCAACAGCCAAAAAACTCATGAGAGCTGTAATGTTATAGATATATACTTTATTAATTCTCTCTGATAAAATAAAATTACAAAATAATTTCAACCTCAAACGGCACTTTCCTTGTTTATAATTATTTAACGTATTGATGGTACATTTATTATAACTGTCATGACGAATGAGAAGAATACTATGGTTTTATAGTGTAAGATATCAGCTGTAACTGTATTTAGTCATAATGGTAGAAAAGACTAAGCAATAGAAAGCTAGAATTCGTTAAGAGCATACTGTACAATATTTCAAGCGCATGTAATTCAGTATTCCGGCCACAGCATGTCGCTATAAGATAGTTTTCAGTGTTATCTCCAAAAGCGAAGGTAGGCTTGTCTCTTCTTCCCGTCTTGCCAGCATAATTCCTCTCTCAGATATAAATTTCACTAACAGATGTTCCTTCATGGCCATTGATCCTTTGTAAGGTTTATTTGTGATCTCTTATGTTCATCCACAGTCCTCCTCCCTCAAGAGCAGTCCACTTCAACAAGTCCATTCCCATTTTTTTTTTCACAGTTATTCCCTCAGAAATAGTGTCAGGATTTCTGCCTGTTCCTGCCATCTTTTGTCCCAAATGACAAGCAGCTTTCCCTGCCTGTTTGAAGTCCATTTAAGAGAGAGCACTTTGGTTGTTAAGGTGTGTGTATGTGTGAACATTTATATATAGATATATAGAGATATCTATATAAATATATGCGTGTGTGTGTGTGTGTGTGTGTGTGTGTGTGTGTGCGTGGCAGTTTAAAATGACAAAGCAAGCGAACAAAGATGTATTTCTGAGTGTTTTTTCTTTTAACAGAATACATTCATAATAACAGTGAGCTGTTTTGGTACCCGGAAAAAAAAAAAAAAAAGAATGGACAATCATGGACAGATTACTTATTACTAATTACTATAAAGATGCCAACTTAGAATTATATAGATAAATCAGTTTTGCATTGGTACAAGTGAACACAATTGTCAATGTAAAGGCAACATTTAGATAACTCTAGGTATGTTTTTCTAGATTATAAAAAATGAAGAAAATAAACAAAATGCACTCCAGTGTCTCATTTGGTTTGGGAAAATAAAGTAATAATTCCTAGTTGGCGTAAGAACTGGAAGCTAAATTATTAAAACGAGATCTGGCACCAGTAAATAAATCAACTACACGTAAAAATAACTGGTTTAAATTCTGATTCAATAAAGATTTGGCTCCTTCTTCCAACGACAATCAGAAAAATTAATGCACTTGTTAAAACTCATTATTAATCTTCTCTTGTCTGTGGCTTGTCTACAAAAAACAATCGTGTTACAAATGTTCACTCAGTCACTACCTTGTGTTCACTACGGAGAGGACAAAGCGACGGACTGTGAAGAAAATTTGGACAATGGCTTTCGGTTTCTCGTTGTCAAAGTGAATATGAAACATGGGTATGAAATGCGCTGGTGCATGGCACCATTTGTACCCGTCAGGTACAAAAACAACCAAAACCGCAAAGTTATGAAATGGCAGAAGGGGCAAAATGACCAGCACTCAATTTTTAGTCTTCTGGTTTAACGTTTTGGAAACTGAGTAGAAACTGTCTTTGGCAAACTGTGAATAACAAAGCAGTTCGTAGAAATTAATGGGGCTTAAGCTCGACAACAGAGGAACCTTTGCCAACAGAGCAGGCTGGTCGAGGGGAAAAAATGTCGATATTGTGTTAGAAAAACCTTTGAAACACCACAGCACCATGGCAGACTTTATATATAGTGCACCACATAGTAAATGAGTGAACAGTCTCATTTTAGGACGGCAAGCCTACAATTACTCCTAAACGCTAAATGTCTCGCTCACCATGCACTCCGGTGAGTGCGGTGATGAAGCCCTGTTGTAGTTATTTTATCTCATTTCACCATCTGCCACTGTCTCAAGCATCACAAATAGACGCCATGATGACTCGCGTCTCTATCCGTTCACTTCAGCCTCGCCTGTAAATTCGTGCGGCTCAGTGACCGGTTGCAATTCTCCCAGCCGAGCAGTTAAAAGCCACGACTGTGCGTGTAGTAAGTCTAACCTGCTGCGCGCTCTCATACCCACAGAAGATGAATCGGTTTCCATGAACATTTTTCTCCCTTTTGCTGTGCCTACATTGCTTGGCAGTGATCTATGGAGATAAACAGTGCATTGGGTGCTTGGCAGTATAGGCTTTAGTATTATCATGGGCTAGTAGTGCATTATGAGACATTGTGTAAATCTGTCTGTGCTGTGTTACCTTGTATCGTGTGTATATGTGTGTGGTGCATTCTGCTAGGTTTTTTTTTTTTTAATATTATGGTCGTATTGATCGGACCTTCTGTTAAAGGGATGCTTGTTAACACATGATAAGCATTCAGATAGAAAATACATCATAAAGATAAAAAGTCATGGTCATTATTCCTGATGAAGGGAGTGGGAAATTCGGAGAAGAGAAATAAAAAAGGCAGAGGAGGAGATAGAGAGAATAAAAGGCCCTTTGCCGTAATTGGAGTGGATTCCATTTAGAAGTTCATATAATTATTCTTGGTTATTTCTTCCCTTCTGCCCTCCCCCTCCACCCCCACCTCCTCATTCTCTTTACCTCCATTTCTCACCCTCGTGACATCCTCCCTCCCCCTCACACCTTTAAGAGTCTCCATTTTTCTCTTCCTTCCATCGTCAAGAAAAGTCCTGAACGTGTCTCATTTCTCAAACTGGCCCTCCGTCTTAGTCCCATTACTGTTCCTCTTCATCCTGCTATCTCGGAGCAAAAATATTCAGAGGATCTCCAAAAATGTATCTCCTCTGCCGTCATTTTTCTCCTTTAGTCTGATGTGAGAGGACCATCAGAGCCTCCCCGTCTTTTCCTTCTCCGCGTCTTGCGTCCACGTTTGTCCCCGTCTGCTCGTCGGAGCGGTTTTCAGCAGCTTGAGCTGCACGTATTGGGGTTGGGACTAGCCTCCAGGCTCCCCTCTGGGCTCGCAGGTGGGGGCGACAGCGGGGTCTCCAGGGATAAACTGGAAATCTGTGCTAAGGTTGATGGAGGAGCTGCAACCTGAACTGGGGAGGCAGGAACCGGTGCGGTGGTTAGGGAGGCAGTTGGAGACAGGGGAACCACAGCGCCGCCGCTTCCTGTTCCTCCCACTCTGCCGTCCCGTGCGTCCCTCTCTCGGAGCAGGTGAACCAGGGCGGCGTGCTGGGCGCTGAGGGTTGCAGAGAGGTGTGCAGGCAGGGCGTTGAAGCCCGCTGTGAGCTGCTCCACCCGCTGCTCCAGGGACAGCATCTGTCGCTCCAAGTCCTCGCTGCGGTCGTTGAGCTCTGACATGAGCTCGTACATGACGCTCTGCATCTGTAGGAGGAGAGGTGAAGAAGTGTTTTTCTCTGAGCAGGTTTTTGAATTTACTGTTGGCCAGCAAATTCAAAGTGGAAAGATCCTTAAAAAAATCATCATCTATACCTGGATTGTTACTAGGTTATAAAGACTTTTTAAATTATTAATAGGCATGTTTCACACACTGATCAAGGTTCACTGCTTGGCTGACAAGATAAAGACTTCCAATTTCCAAACGCAGCCAAATTCGTTCCAGAAATAAATAATCAAATCAATATGATACAACCCAATCATACATACAGATCCAAAAATTAATTCTAATTTGATCCTAGTTATAATGAGGTGCAGTCAAATTCAGAATTTAATGCTAGTTGCCATGCTCTGAGGAAGGTTTACCAAGTCTTAGATTTTGCAGCAATCTCTCGTCTTGAGCAAACCTGTACCAACAGTGGGCAAATGTAACCAAAAAAGTTTGCTGAAGAATTAATATAAAGAAATAGCCTGAAAAGTTCAGATAAAAATGAAGCATTTAGAGTAAAGCTACTGCCCTTTACAGCTAAAATAATAAATTATACTTAAGAAATTTTCTCCAAATTTCCCAAACAATCCAGCCTATCTCAAAACATAAAAGCAGAATGACAGAACTAATTTAGATCTATGTATGAAAAGCAATATGATTCTCATGACAATTTAACAATTGCCCAGTCTTTCTTCTGCTGTGACCCTTTATCAGTCCATTTAGACCTCATTCTCCACATGCTTCTTACAAACTGATGCAATACACCTCGTCGTTTAGCAAAGTAATCCTAATGTAATACTCAGACGACCCTCTTTTATGTAGACAAAATGTTGGTACAAAGATGTTAGTCGCTCTCACACAGGATTTTCTCCCTGCACTGGTGTCTTCATTTCAGAGAAAGATCTGAACACTTTCTCTTCACTTGTGTTAAGCAGCGGGGATGATTAGGAAGATGCAAAAGAAAATGAATCCAAGAGGGAGAAGAAGACGGAATGATGAAGAGGCTGGGTGTTATAACATTGCAAGCAGAGAGTTAGAAGAAGAGAGATGGATAATAAAAGGAAGGCAGCACTGTGTCCCTGCTGTGCTTCTCCTGGTCTCTGTAACCATGGTAAAGACGTAAGTGGCCAATTGAGATGGAGTCATTGAGATGGCGTAATTGCAAAATATTTGGTGCTAAAGGCATTGCTTCTTGGAAAGATGCGCACACATTCTCAATCTTTGTCTGCCTCTTATTCAAGTCTGAATCTCACTCACTCTGCTCTGAGTTTCTCTCTCTTTCACAAACACACACACACACACACACACACACACACACATACATGTTCGCTCACATTCTCAAACACCCACACAGTTAACAGAAAAAAAAAACAAAAAAAAAAAACACAAGCACTCCCCTCCCTCTCATTTCCTCCTCACTCTCTCGCTCAGTCATCCCTGTTTTAACACTTTGCAGTGGTTGCCAGGAGATGAAAAGCCACAAAAACAGGCGGGTCAGCATGGAAACAGAGGAATGCCGTGGTATTTTCTCCGGGGACCAAAGGATGGCTACATGTGACGTATTACCCTGCTCAAGGCTTAGGCCGTTTCCAGCGTCACGGTTTTAATAAGTTGCGGTTTAAAAACAAGTAAAATATTCCAGCATCGTGATCATGAGGCTTATATTTCTTTTTATCGTTGTGAGGCAGTCTGTCAACTGTATGTGATGCCTGAAGGGGAGGAGATCCCGAAGAATTGTACCCTCATTAAAGAAAGAGGATATTAGTAGCAAAAAAAAAAAAAAGACATACAGTCAGAGATTGACTACCAGAGTAGAGCAGCTCTTCTCACATCTCAGTACTTGAACAAGTTGAAGCTGGTTCTACATTCAAGGTGTCCCACAGTTTAAAAAATGCATTCCTGATGTTTCTCTGGTCTGCGTTGCTACAAGCTGCCAGTCAGCAGCGCGGGGTGCCAGAAGAAGAGGAGTTCCCCTGAATTCCCTCCATGAGCCGGCAGCAAGAAAAACAATGATTGTTTTAAGGTAGCACTTTAAAGAAAAAGAGAAAAAAAAGCCTATTATGTAAGCTACAAGCCTAGCTGAACTAATCTGCTTACTAGTCAAGCAGATGACCCATCTAATTAACCAGCTAGGTGCCATTCTTCAGATAATACAGATCAGCTGGTCTCTGCAAAAGGCACAATTGCTTAGAATGACCAAACTACTTCCCCACATGCACATGTGTTTACAGATGATCTTTCCAAATCATCCTCTGGCTCATCAGTATTTCAGGTGACACTGACTTTAAACTTCATGTCAGTCATTGAAACTAAAACTATATTTGTAAAGGTCACACCAGGCATGTTGGACAGCAAAGTTTTACAGCGAAGAAAGGGGGCGACTTAATTAATGTAACTACCAGAATAGAATCCTGTGTTGTTAATTATTGGTCTCTGTCACCGTCATGGATACATTTCTGTAACACACCGAGAGCTGCAAGAAAAACCTTTGCTATACCGACTGATAATTACTAATATTAAAGCTGCAACCTCAGCAGCACCAGTGGGGAGTGGTCCTGTGATGCCACAACACAGCACAGGTAATTTCCCTGTTCGCTAGCCATTTAAACCTATGTCAGAACCAAGCTTTGTCACCAAACTGCAAAATTTTAGTGTGTCAACATCAAGATTCCAGCATGTGCCAAAGAATATTGACACTTAGAAGCAAGAGATGTGGAGGGAATGGAAAACTGCTGATTTTCAAATGCAGTTTATTGTGGGGATTCCCCCCAAAATGGACCTTGTTAGCTGCACAGGCTCTATGATTCTTCAATGCAATTTTCAGGAAACAATATTCCTGCTGTTTGGACTAATTTATGTTCTGGAGACATTGCACTGGTCTTTAAAAAAAACTACTAAACTGGTGTGCATAATTTTGTGGATTAGGGTTTGTATGCTTGTAACAAGTGCCTGTGCTTAATTTACTAAATATTTATGTACTATGTAAAATCAATAAAACGGTCAAAGCTGTTGGAGCAAGTTGAGATCACTAGTTCTTTCCTTGCTCATACTCTCATACTAATCCAAGACATTTACCACATTTTATTTTGACATTAGCAAAGAAAAAACACACCTGCCAGCTATAGATTGCTCTATAGCAGAACTGAGAGGCATCGTCTCCAATTACCCAGAATGCATGACAACTGGCCCCTCCCAATGTGACCTGCCTTCCTTATTTTTATTGGCTTTTGCGTCGGTGGTAATCAGCTCACAGATTCAGACAGGCTCATCAGACAGATCAGACTTGTTGTCCTCCAAGTCGCTGTAGATTCATATTTTTACATGCTAACAGATTTGTGTGCCAACTAGCTATGCTGGATATTCCCCGAATAGTGTAGACTTTGCCCAGCTGGGAATCCGAGGCAAAATCCGGCAAAACAAATTGTTGCATATTGAAGTAACTGCAGGGGACTGCAGTCATAAAAAGAGTGTAATATTTTTCCACAAGGTTCTGGTGCTGCCAGAATGCTAAATGTCGTGTACAGTTAGTGCATCTCACCTTGGAGAGGTCCACTAGTGTGTTGGCCTGATCACTGAGTTTCCTCTGCTCCATTTTGACGCTGCGTAATCTGCAAACAGACGTACGCACAGATAAAGCTCACAAACAGAGGTGAAACCCAGTAAATACACAGTGGTTAGCCCGCAGAGATAATCCCTCAGGATCCACACGACAGCTCTGTGAAGTGTCGGTCACCTTGCTTGGATTGGGTTCATTTTTACCTGCAGTGCCTCTCTGAAAAACGTAAATGTGTGAACACAGTGAGCGCAGGCTAAAACAAATGTAGCCGTCTGCATGAGCTAGCTGCAGACGTAGAAGGGAGTGGGACTGGGGTTAATATGAAGGAAAGCTAATGGGAATAAAGCCTTCGGGGAAATAAGCTGCAGGGGATGAAAATTAAATAAATCATCTTACCTCAGTCCAATTATAATCAGAACCTGTTTAACTCTCAAAACACAGCACAATAATTAGTGGTTCAATCTGTGTTTTCATCAAGCCCTGTGGCAGCCTCCATTATAATGCAGGGAAGAGTGATTTTGTGAGACCGTTTCCCAGCTACACTGTCAGGTTCCAACCTGGAAAAATCACTTGGTTTAATGTGTTCACCCAAAAATATTACCCTGCTTCATCGCTCGTTGACTTCCTGTCCCCCTTTTTCAGGTCTTGCCTGTCAGGATTAACCCCTTCTACGTTACAATTAAGAGTCTTATTCCTCTTGTCTCTGGCTTTTGAGACATTTTTTAACCATTAGAGACAAAAGGAGAGAGGAACACAAAAAGGAAACACATGATTTGAATTTAATAAGAGAACAGAACCGGTTGTGCTATACGTTCATGTTTCATCAGTCCCTACTGTTGAGATGATATAATGAACAGAGAGCCTCTAATGATACACAACACACTGATTGTGTTTGCCTGGACTGATCTTGCCCTTTAGCAGATAATGAATAACTGTATGTTTGCGTGCGTGCGTGTGCGTGTGTTTGAGTGCGTGTGCAGAGATTAGTGCATTTCATCTGATTATCAGACTGGATTCAAGCTGTGGGCGGATAGAAAGTACAGCTGATTTCAAATGCCTCAGTGGCTTTGCAGCCACAGTGGTGTGCATGTGTTTGCTTGCAGCCGGGCATGGATGCAGGGGAGTACGGAGTGTGGTCTCACTGATGTATGGCCTGCAGGAACTTCCGCTGGTGTTTGCGGACCCTGGAGTGGTCGATCTTCTTCATCAGCTTGGTGTGCTTGTAGATGAGCCAAGTCTCCCTCAGCACATTAGCCGCTGCGTTCTTTATCTGTCTCCAGACAATAAGCACACACATGTAGACATTTATTAGCAACAGGTAGCCCTTGGCAACTGGAGGAGGCAACAGGTTTATCTGCTCTTGTTCTTCTCCTCGTTTTCACTATCGTCTCTGTGCAAAGAAAAAAAAAAAAACGCACTAAGCCATCGTTTTGTCTTCTCAGAGGCTGCCCCCCATTCTCTGGCAGGCTTGCCAAGGCTTTTTATGTGCGCTTTCATAGCTCTGTCCTTGGGGAGATTGGCAATGAGAGCCAACAGGAGTCTTTCCTTCACACTCCTCTACTGGCTTCCAGCGCCTACAGCGCCTCGCAAAATTATTCATACCACCTTTAGTTTTTTTTTTTTTTATTATTTTTTTTACATGTTACAAACATAAACTTTAATTTGTTTTATTCATACTACAAATGATAGACCAACACAAATTGTGAAACAGAAGGAAGAGAGGAAATTAGTTGAAAATTTTTCAAGAATAAAAATAGAAAAGTGTGGCATAAACTCAACCTGAGTGAGTCTACTCTGTAGAACCGCCTTTTGCATCAATTACAGCTGTAATTCTTTTATATCTGTACCATTTTTCGACATATCAAATCTGAAATGTTTTCCTGCTCTTCTTTTGAAAGTACCTCAAGCTTAGTTTGGGTTGCGAGTCTTTTTAGCTCATTGATGAGGCAATTTGAAATTTATTGCAGGGCTGGCTGCATGTTTAAGGTTGTTGTCCTGCCAGAAAGTGAAGCACCGCTACTATGAATATATTTATATTTTTTGTAACTTTGTATATTTATTCTTTATCTCTTGTTTTCTTGCCGCTGTTTCGGTTGCTTGACTGCTTGTTTTTCAGAGCTACAACAACAATACTCATAGAAAACTCTTGAGTATTAAGTTCTTGGAACACATTAGATTATAGATAATGTGTCTGTGAGGTATTTGTTGACTCACATTGGTACAGAAATAGATCTTTCATAAAGTCAACATAGTGCAAAGTAGAACAATACGTCGGACTTTGGCTAAATATGTTCAACCAAAGCTGGAGTAAAACATTTTCTTAATCAAAGTTTGGTGTCTCTTAGTCTCACAGAACCATCTTTACAATCTCAGTCCAGATGTTTAAATGCATCTTTTCAGGATTTCCCTGTATTCAGCTCCATCCATCTTCTTGCCAGCTCAGAAAAGCTTCCCTGTTCTCCTGACACTCCTTCCTTTGAATATTGTTTTTTGTTGTACTGGGAACGATTTGGCTGTTAACGGTTATATTTGTCAAATCAAAAAGGTATAATTATCAACCCACTTCACAGTTATGCACTACTTTCTGTTTGTCTATAATATACATTTCAAAGAAAATGCATTGGCATAATATTAAGATAACAGAACGTGTAAAAAGCCAATGAATGCATCACATTTAATAATAATAATAAAAAGACTGAATAATGCTAGCTGGGTAAAAGAAAAAAAATCACCTCAGTATCATTGGTGTTTATTTAAACCAGGGATTTTCCTTTTAATTGACAACAACTATAGAAAACAATCACAGCTGAAGTGGCTGCTCTTAAACTAGCTGCCAAAGACATTCCTCATCTGAGGAGAAGGGGAATATTGGTCTGATATAATGATGCTATTGCATGAAAGGCTAATGAAAGAAGGCAATTTTTCCTCAGTTTTTCTGCTCAGATGCTGCATTTGTTTTTTATCGGAGGAGTCTGGATGTAGGATTTGGTAAAACAAGCGATTCAAAATGTCAGAGTCTGCCTAAGGCTTGCCCTTGGATCGATAATATTTAACATGAATATCTGATTCATCTGTCGCTATAGGTTGCTACATAATTACAAGGCAAGGGTCTGACATCCAGTGGATTAAAAAAAAAAAACGGGAGATGGAGAATACAATAGTGAGGAGAGACGGCACAAAGAAAATGTAAGCATGTAAACTGAATGAGAGACTTCAAAGAGATGGAGAAGACTGAACAAAGAACAATTTTCCCCCAGTCTGAAGAGAACAAAAGACCCCGGCAGCCTGGCTAATCAGCACCCATCCACTGTAAGGAGAGCCCCCTCGCAGACACCCACTACATGTTCACACAGAGTCGGCTGCAGATGAGGAGGGTGGAAGGCCACCGCCCCGGGAAAGTGTTTACACTGACCCAGAGGAAGTCAGGTCAAGAAGCACAAAGTCCAACACAACCGATGTTGTTTGAGTGTCAGAACATTTCCAGTTCAAAATTCAACACTTTTTTTTTGACTCAAGTTCAATTCAACATTTTGAGTATTCGAGTCCAAGACATTTATGAAGTTGAGTTTTATTATCTTTGGGTTTCACAACTTGCAAAACAACTAAATGCTGCTTTTTATTTACATATTTTGTTTTTTTTACAAACTTAAATTAACACTGTTTAAATGGCTGTAAAACTTTACAGTTCAGGACTGTAAATTTCTTACATAGCTCGGTTCTTTCTATACCAGTACTCGGTTGGGAGCACTATAGCCTTGCAACAAAAAAGTCCTGAGTTCCAGTGCCAGCTTGGGGTCTTTCTGCTTGACGTTTGCATGTTCTCCCTGTGCATGCATGAGTTTTCTCAAGGTACTCCAATAACATGATTATTAAGTTAATTGGTCTTTCTAAATTGTCCATAGGTGTGAGTGTGTGTGTGTGTGTGTGTGTGTGTGTGTGTGTGTGTGTGTGTGTGTGTGT